GTCAGTGAACCTTGCCATTCTTAGTACCACGCTACGATTCGTCAAAGAGGAAAGTGAAATAGATCCTTTGACCAAATTTGTCCTTCTGTCCTGGGCTATTCACTTATCCTATATCCTCGTATCATTTTCAATATAACAATTTCTTACTTGTTTATCTAGACCTAGTTAAAATCTATTCACACCAATGCTGGATTCCTCCTCCCTCTCACAGTGCCGGAAGTGTTGATCCAAAGCTGAGGTTTAATCCGCAACCCTCTCTCTTCGGGTCCTATCAGAGTCCCCTCTTACTCCGTAGGATCCTTCCCTTATCTGCCTGTTTCAGTGATTTCACTCCATCGCTGCCACCGTTTCCGTGATAATCAATCGTTGTTCTACACTCTGCCTCAAGACTTTAAAAGCACGTATAGACCAGCCTTATTGAGCAAGCTCCTAAATTCTGGATTCTCATTTGGCATGGCAACCTATCTTGATGTTGTAGATTCCATTATCTCTGTGCGGCATGTGCACCGAGTAAATCTTGTGTTCAAGCCTTTACTTCATGGACCACATCTATGAGTAAACTTATCTACTAATAGTCAACTAGAAATGGCCACCACCGTCTCTCTCGCTCTTCTGTGACATTCTATTTAGTGCTAACCCCCAAATATGATGGTTCTACTTGATTTGAATAGGCTCACTGTAGACGTCTTCTCTTCGTTTCCAATTATTCCTTTCTGGTCTCATTATAATTCCTTTTCCTAAATTTAAAAGTAATATCTTTGTCTAGTCAACCTTCTCGTATTGCGTCGGCAGGCTCGTGAAGAGTGTTATCTTTTTTTTGCTATCACCTTGATATTCCATTGTCTTAGCAACTGTCGCCATTTTTGGCTCATTTCACAGGAAGACAGGCATATCCACTTTTTGTAGTCCTACCCATTTGCTGATCTTATTCTCGTAAAATCCTAGTTAAACTCTGCTCTTTATGACCCCTATATTTCTTTCTATACTTTCTCTGGGGTATCCATTACTAAGACAAATCCGAGTCAGTTTCTCCAATTCCTCGTTCCAGAACTAAGTGTCCGTTAGCCTTGAGCTTCTGATAATCATACTCCTTATTATTCTGATCTTCAATCTGTAGTTTAGGTAAGACTGGAAATTGAGGATTATTCCACCATATGATTTCTTTCTGAATAGTCTCCTCTTGAGTAATCCGTTGAAGCACATGACCTCAATATCCAGGACGGGTAGTCGTCTATCCTCACCCACCTCCATTGTAAATTTAATTCTTCCGTCAAGTTGGTTCATAAAATGAGGAATTCATCCAAATTTTCCTTACCATGCGACCAAAGGGCAAAGTAGTCATCTAGGTATCGCATAAGCACACTTCGTTGCAGCGTTGATTTCTCGAATTCCTTCTCCAATCTGTCTCTGTAAACATTTGCCAAAAGAGATGAGAGTGGAGATACCATGGATAGTGCAAATATTTGCGGGTTGAAATTGCCGTTTAATGTTAAATTTGTGGTACTCACTGTCAGATTGATTAGTCGTGTTATCGACTCCTTCCGTATATGCTCTGCTTCCAGGATATCCTCCTCTCATTTTAAGGCATCCAGTACGGCGGTGACTACCCTCTCGCCTGAAATGTTTGTATACATGGATCATACATCGAAACTCACCAACAGTTTTGTCCCCATTAGCTCAATGTTCCGGGTCCTTTGAGAAAATTTAGATGAATTCTTAACGGTATTTGAGAGTCTGTCATTTACTTTCTTGAGCTTCAAGCAAATAAATTTTGCTAGTTTGTGTGTTACTCTATGCTTGTTGTTGATTCTTAATCTTAGCGGATTTCCAACCTTGTGTATCTTTGGTAGTCCGTAAGCTGTAGTTGGTCTTGCTTCATTTTTTATTAAAGATTTTATTATCCATCTATCAATTTCCCCATTATTATGCATTTCCTTTAGTATATTTTTCCGTGTCCCGTTGATCTTCATAATTGGATGCCTTCTTTATATTTGATAAATGTTCCGGCCGCCTGAAAAACTTTACATTTTCTCAGTGTAGTGTTTCTTGTCCATTACAGACGTCGCTCCTCCCTTATCCGCCTAAAAAACTAGTTGATCATTCTTTTGTAATTTTTTCAGTATACCAGTCAATCTGCTCCTGTGTATCAGTTCTTGATGTACCAGGATCTGTCGGAATTATTTCCATTTCCATCTCCCGCTTTGTCTCTTCTTGATATTTAACCGATATATTGACAAAATCCAGCAGAATATCACTGGAAACATTTTCTTCGATACTCAGGGAAAATTAAACCCCTTCTTAAGAGATCCGTGGTTTTAGATACAAGAGGGATTGAGGTTAGGTTTACCAACTTCGCCCTAAAGTCGTTTGTAGCAGTTGATACCTTCAATACAGAACCATCTAGTCAGTTATATTCTGGAGTTTTTAAAAAACATCTGGAGTGAAAACTTCGCTCGGTAACGAAGGGAACATTCTATAAGATATCCCTGTAAATATTATCGACATCTCAAGGAAATTCTAGGAAAGGCTGGTGTATACATGCTATCTAAGTCTTGAGGCAGAGTGTAGAACTGCCTTGAGTGGCACGGATAAAGTGGCACGGATAGGGTGGCACGGATAGGGTGGCAGTGATAGAGTGAAATCACTGAAACAGGCAGATAAGGGAAGGATCCTACGGAGTAAGAGGGGACTCTGATAGGACCCGAAGAGAGAGGGTTGCGGATTAAACCTCAGCTTTGGATCAACACTCCCGGCACAGTGGGAGGTATGAGGAAACCAGCGATAGTGTTAATATATTTCAAATAGGTCTAGATAAACAAGTAAGCAATTGTTATATTAAAGGAGTGATACGAGGATATAGGATAGGTAGAAGTAGAGATACCACTGTTTAGCACAAATTTGGTCAAAGGATCTATTTCACTTTTCTCTTTGACGAGTTGTAGCGTGGTGTTAAGAATGGCAAGGCTTACTGACGATGCCGACTAGGATGCCGGAGAAACGTCTGTGAATGTACCACATCCATGGTCCGACTCTGGAAATTATCATGCATACTATGGACTTCGGATAAAGTTCGTCTTTCTATGTTTTCCTTCTAATATGACCAAGTTGCGAAAACATGGTCAAACAACTTCTACACATCGAAAGGAGACCGCCACCATACAAAAGGCCACACCATCCTTGTCTTCATATCTTTTTTTATCTAGTTTAGCAGTTGGAACTTGATAATTTTTTGATTTAAATACATATAAAATTTATCTCCACCTTGCTAACTAGGCTTACTCTCTACTAGATATGTTTATTTTTGTCTAAAATTTGATCAGTGAGCAATAAAATTGAGCTTCAGTTTAATTATCGCTTTTTTTAAGATTAATGTACTCATTATGCTCATTTATATCTCAACATTTTTATAGTCGATATCACACTTATCATTTGGGTAGTTTTAGCATTAGCTATATGCATTTTATTTCATTCCTCTTAATTTCCCCTTTTTCAAAGCCCTTAGTTCAACCATCACAACCTATCTTTAATCGAGTTTTATGTATGTCCTTTTACAGCAAATGCTTGATCTTTAGCAAACTAATAAATCCTATGAAAATAAATGGACTCTTTTAGCCTTAATATTCTGTGCAACTAAATCAGTCCACAAAATTCTTTCGGTGCCCAGGAAATACTTACTTAAGGAAAGTATTGGCTAGCTAATCGGTACTTTGATTCAGCAATGCACTTTTTATTAAAGTTAGCACAAATTCACATATATACCTTTTATACAAAATTAGTTCAATACTGACGTATAAATTAAACTTGAATATATCTTAGCAGATATATAATTTTCTGGTCAAATTCTTTAGATATTTTCATCTTATATCTTCTTTTTTTGAATAAAACTATTATTTCATGCATCTATCCTTTACATTTCTACCTTTTCTCCTTTATCTTTATTATTTAAACGGAAATTTGTTTCAAAATCAAAATAA